CAACATTAACGCCATTTATTATTTAACGTTTGATGGTAAACGGTAGCCGACTACAAACGGTCCCTGGGGCACAATGATACTATGACATAATATACTAAGTGGGGGTCGCGAAACTATGAAACAGACAAACGGTCTTTAATAATATTTCATTACTGAATCATTGTACACCCAATAATAATAATAGTTGTTTACCCTTTTCCTCTGCTTTTGTAATGAAATCCAACTGTTTTATTAATGCCGTTAAATGAAAAAAAAAAATGGATTTATTATCACTACTTTTTGAGGTTGACAGGAATTCTTTATGTTTTTATATTATATTAGGTTAATATATTTGAACGTTTTCAAATGTTATGCAACTGTTCGCGAGCCAACGCACGTGCATTACTGTAATACAATTGTAATAAAAAATATTATAATGTAGTGTTGCTGAATTTTTGAGCAATATTGAAGGCACCCATGTAGCTGACAGCTGTAAAAAAACCATATCATTCAATTATTTTCCTCGAGAATTCTCAGTATTTTTTTTTTTTTGTACTAACATTGTGAACTCAAAATAAATTTATACGTAAGATAAGTCTTTTGTAATTTATAGTATTTATAATAAAAGATTAAATACATTTTTTCGAAAAAAAATAAGTGAATACAATAATTAAACGTTCGGTATTTTTAAGATTTAACAAGTTATAAAAATCTTTTTTGTGACTTCAAGATTACGTTTAAACATTTTCTTCGTGTATTTACAATTTAAAAATTTAATTAATAGTCAAACTAAAAATTTAAAAACTTAAAATTAAGCAAATAATTCAACCGATGATTAATTTGAGCAATGTTATCTTGATTATATTGATTTTGCCAATCATATTGTTCTTAAAAAACATGATGAGTGTAGGTATATAATAAACTTTATTTTATAGAAACATATTGTAATTAATGATAGGAAATATCGAATAACTAACAACAGTCGAATGACTATCCAACTATTTAATAGTTGTATTTGAGTGGTATAAAAATAATTTTGATAATTTGCGCTAAAAGTTAACTATTCGGTCGCATCAGAATTATTTAAAAAACTAATCACTAGTAGAAACGGTTATTTCAGTAAAATTTGGTATTTTTGGATTACTAAGGGTAGAGCTTTTTTTTTTTTTTTGAAGTACCTAATCTTAACTGTACTTATGTACTCAATTCTTGTAATTCAGAAACTATGTGTCCTTTTTGCGGTTCGATTTGAACTCAATTTTATATAGAAAGATTGTTGTTTTATGATGACATTTATTTAACCAAGTGTGGATAATTAAAACTAAATCTTTAATTTCAATTGAAGTAAAAAAAAAGTGCTTAATAATATAACTATTATACAATAACGAAACATATTTATTGATCGTAGTATTGCGTATGTATCGATTCAGTTTTTAGACTAAATTTTTCTTCATCAGTATGTTAACAATAGGCTAAATATTGAAAGGTGCTTGAAAGTTTGCTTTCTAAATTAAAATTTTATTTATATTCTCGTTATGTTAATAGGTCATTTTACTGTACTAGATTATTTTAACTGCCCTAAATGTTTTTCGTAAAGTCGCTTATTATTTTGACAACAATTTTTAAATTTGTGGTTTAAAAACGTTTTGTTTTCAGTTCATTTTATCAGGCGTATTGCTAGAAATAATGTATTGATTATAAAAAAAATATTAAATCACTTTCTTTACACGTGGACTCATTATCCACCGTGTTTAAAGCACTTTTAAGCACTTCAAGCCCCCTCCCCATTCACGTCAATGTCAATTATTATTATTTATAATCAGTATATTTGAAATAAACTACATGGTATGTAGTTCTTATAATTGAAAAGCCTAATCAGAACAAGCTCAATACAAGCGGGACACATTATTTCTACTTCTAAGTCATTTAGTATAAATTGGCATAAACTGGTTTACCACCGACTGTGCGGTAATACTGACTGCCATAATGTTTAATTTAGAAAATTTAGAAAAGACTGAGTTCAATATACCTAAACATTATTAAGAGATGCTAGTACGGAAATATATTGCGTGATAAATACACTTGTGAAAATTCCTAAGAGCGACTCAATGAATACTTGTCACCAAAAAGATGAAATTTATAAAGGTAATGTGAGTAGAAAGTGGATTTATAGAATTATGTTTTTCGGTTGATTTCCGTTTGAATGGTTTTGTAATTTTTTTTATTTTACAGAAAATGATGAGAAAATGTTTTTTTTCAGGTAATATTTAAATTAAAAAATAGGCTCTTCTAATTATAAAAATGTGCAAAAACAAACATTTTGTAAACTTGGTGATTGACAAGTTTTTGATAAATTTTACTTCTGTTAAGGTGCATAAAGTCAAACATGTAAAAACTTAAAAATCCACTCTTTTATTGTGAATTTTAAGTGTTCTTTAGGATTACATAATATTACTTCCAAAGAAAATAATCTCGTGTATCAATGAACGCCCACAGACACACGTTTCGGATGTTTTATGTCTGTTGAACAATTTGAGCGAAAAATACCTCAAGATAATTAAATTATAATATGATTTTGCGTTTGTTTTTCGCGTATAATTTTTGAACATCTTTAATATTATAATAAAGTGACACGGAAAATGTTTTACTATCATTATCATTAATAAAGACCCTCTGGTGAGATACGTACAATAAAACGGATTACATCATGTCGTCCGGAACTTCTCATGTTACCATATTCACACACACACACATACATACATACACTTACACTTAAACACACACACACACACATACATACATACACTTACACTTACACACACTTACACTTACACACACATACACATTCACACACGACGCTCCCGCGCGCACGTCTAAAGGGATGCCAACGATCGCCCACGAAGCTCGTTTATCGTCGTGGTCTCATCGAACACCGAAACAAGTTAAGAGGCTTCTATTGAGCGCAAAGGGGGAGACAAAAACTAGTTTTATTTACAAAATATGTATGTATATGTTACTACTTAGCAATGTAGCAGTAATGAGCGGTGCGGTAATTTTTTTATCGAGTCCCCGTTCCCGTTAGTATTTTTTATCATTATTATTATTACCGAACGTTTTATTGATAATATAATTTATTTTATTCTATTCGACATATTTCTTGTGGTGACAATATTGTACGACATAAAATTGTACAACAACAAAAATTTCAACAAATTATTATTCATTATCATTTATTTATTTTTTTCTTTGATCTTCAAAGTCAACATACAAATCAATAATAAATAATAATAATAATAGTAAAACACAAATAATATTTTGTTATTTTAACTGTTAGAATTTTTAATTAAAAAAAGTGATGTTTTTCCCACTACAGAATACTTTGGTTTTAGCTTGTAAAATAGTAAGTTCATGATCAGTGGTGCAACCAGAAATGTGTTGCGGGGAGGGACTTAAGAATATTTAAATTTTCTTATTTTTTAAAGTACAAACAATTTCATAAAAACAATTTTTTCTGCTTCCCTATTTTGGTTGTGCCACTATTCATGATTATTATAATATTAAATGTTATTATATCATTGTAGTCATAATTATTTACACCATAAAGATATTTCTATTTAACACATAATAAGTGCTTTGTTTTACGACACATATACATCAAATTGTCTATATTAACTAATTTACTTAAATAATAATACTAAAATAAATAAATAATAGTTATTTACAAATAAGATTTTATAATACAAGATTGCAAAAACGTTTCAATAAACTAAAAAAAAAATACAGAATCACAGACATAGAAATATTATTTATAGTAAATATTAACATACGCGTAAAGACGTAAAAAGAAGTAAAACAATAATTTATGTACATAATAATTTCTTTATAGAATCTGATTTGTGGGTTTTTTTTTTGTACCCTGTAATAATTTAGCGTTTGAGTTTAAATTATAAAAAAAAAATCTTTGTTATGCTATGAACTAATCAAAATCAACAATGTAGACAAAATCTTTATCAGACCTGTTATTTTGCATTAAAAAATTAATGATTATTTTTTCTTTTACGGATATCATAGAATATTATTTGATTCCGTTCTGTTTTATTTTGCAATCGCAATATATTTTACTTAATTATAGAACTAGACGCAGTTAATAGGACTAGAAAATGAAAATTGAAAATATAATTAAAGAGTTCAACCAACATAATTATGCATTAAAAATAAATAATTATCTTACATTTGGAGTCGCACGGCGTTATCATTTAACTGTTGAAATTATTTTCAGAGCAAAAACAATATTCAACACGTGTATATTTTATTTTACTTGTGTCCTTAAGAAATATATTATTTGAATAAACAAGTTTGCATGTTGTCTACTATATTTCCTGCACGGATAATTGTTTTCAAGGATTATCAAAAAAAATTTGGTAAACTCGCCCGCAAATTATGACAGGAAAAGAACAATGAACCGAAAACAAAAAATAAAACCAAACACAACTCTTTCTTTCAATTGCCAAGACTGGTTTTCTTAGTGAGTGTTAGAGCATTACAGTTTAAGTATTTATGATGTTGAGCTTCATTGAGAAAAATTGACAAAAAACCTGTTTTTAAATTCTCGACGTATTGATCTGTAAAGCTCTCGTTAAATATTCATGCGTGATTAACACCAAAAGACAGCTTGTCACAAATTTAATTTAAAAATGAAATCATTTCAAGTAAAAGGAGTTTGTCTACGTTTTACAAATAAAAACATTCATAAAAACTGTTTTCATTTAAAATCTAAAATTTGTGATTGATTTAATTTTTCCCCGTTTGATATCACTCCCAGAGAACTGAACCACTTGTGAATGGCAAAATCCCTGTCGGTGGAGCTATTTACCTTTATTCTTGTGTACTTTTTAATCTTTAATCATATAGTGTTGTTAAGTGTAACGGATTCCTTAGTAATTCTCAGTGTATATCGACTCGAGTCAACGTCTATAGTTGAAATCTCTAGTGTCTTTTTCCGGTTAGCACGGAGTGNATAGTGTTGTTAAGTGTAACGGATTCCTTAGTAATTCTCAGTGTATATCGACTCGAGTCAACGTCTATAGTTGAAATCTCTAGAGTGTCTTTTTCCGGTTAGCACGGAGTGATAGTTATTGCTGGCTACCGTTGTAACCAGATACCCACTGTCATAACGAATGATAGTCGTGGAGCAGCGTAGGGTCCGAGGGATGACCACCGGCGGATATCTGCTGTAGGTGATGGTGGTGATGATGATGATCGCTGCTAATTAAAGGACGACTAACCACTGAAGACCCGTAAATACCACCACCGCCTCCAATCCCCTGAGATTGGTACGATGCGGCCACGGCGGAAGCCGATGGATTGGTCATCATGGATGGTATGCCACCGGCGGACATTGGAGACTTGAGGTCAGAAGAGAACATCATTTCGTGACTCGACAAATGGTCCTGAAGAAAATATTTACATATTATACGATATTCAATATAACATAAAAAATAAACTTAAAATTGTTTTAACATATTTCAACAAAAACTGTTGAAAATATTATAGCTCTTACTACAATCATTGATAGGCATTTTAAACTTATAGCATGATCTAGATAAAAAGTAAAGCAGAACACGATAAAGCAATGACACTTTTTATTTATCAGATAACACGTTATAAAATAAAGACGGTTTATTTTGTTCCACAAAAATCCATATATTTCGAACGTCAAGTGGTCGTGTTTTTGCGTAAATACTCAAATGCAGTAAGGACTTAATGAAGAGGCAAACCTTGAAATGCATTCAAATTTATTATGTACAAATTTTATTAATTTAATGAAGAGATCACGACCGAATGGATTTAACGTGACCAAGGTGTCCAATTTATCTAATTGCCAGTGGCGACTGGCCAAATCAAAGTTTACGGATCGTAAACACTGAGGCATTTTATCGCTCTGACAACTTTTATGAGCAAATGTCTCCAACGTAAATCACTCTTCTTCTTTGGCTCTTGTGTCGCGCGCAAAACAAATAACCGGCAAACTTGATGTACTGCTGAACTTACATCATAATGACCGCTCATGTAGTCACAACAGCTTAGAAGTATGTTAACGACTCGGAGAGCTTTTCAATAGATATGGCGACCGGCCAAGTCGTTGATTTTTCTTATTTGTTTACACGTTTTAAACAACGCTCATAAAGTATATTTATATGTTAATAAGTGACCTTCAAAAATATTTGAAAAAAGTATAGATTCCAAACATTATTTAGACAATAGATTAATTGGCCTAAATAAAAACGTTGCATTCTGGGATGTCATGATAAATGTCAATAGAAAATAAAATATGTATGTGAATAAACAGCAGTATTGATTATACTTTTGTTTTTAAAACTTACCGACTCGGATATTTATTTAATCAACAAGTAAATAGGACAATAGAATAATTAGAAGAATAAATTAATTAGTTTATTGTATAGTATATTGAAAAAAAGAAAACAAGTTACAAGCACCCATTTTATTTATACTATAATTTGGCATTAGTTCAGAGAAATATTTTTGCCATAACGCGCGGCCGCAGATGTTTTCCGTCTTAAGATTACAATATTTCCGGTTAACATTTTTTTTTTTTTTGATAAATAACATGGCGTAGCGATTACAAAGTATAATGAATTTCATAACAACAATAGTTAAATAAACCGTCTGATAATGTGTTTAACATGGGAGATCATTTAAATACGTGTGATTAGCCTTAATCTTTTTGCAGTACAAGTTTATGAAAAACTCTCTTTATACTTTGTCAGTTATCAGTTTTCGTATAATAATTAATTAATGTTTACCTGGCCCGTTATCATTGTGTGTCCAAAGGAAATAGCGCTAGGCTTGTGTAACATGTGAATGTGCGATTTAATATCGCCGTCAATAGACTCGGACGAACTTGAATCCAAGTTTGAAGGAGGGCCTACCATTTTTTCACATCCATCGCCCACGCCGGTAGGACTCCGACTTCCAGACATGCTGAAAAAAAATTAAAAATTAATAATATTATTTTTGAAATTCGGTCGTATGGATTGGGTTGAGAATCGACCCTTTTTTGCGATCGGCTTCTCGACATCATCAAAAGGTTAGTTCATTATTAGCAAATTTTACTCGAAATGTAATTGGTTACTTGAACTGTAATTACACAAAAACGTCCTCGTAAAGGCCCAACGCGTGTGTCGGGTGATTTTTCGAGTGCGACTTCTTTAGGGAAATACCCATTGCAACGCTTAGCAGCTACCGGTGTAATTAATTTCGGTTAGATGTATGGCGACAATAACAATTACAGTGATAATATAACGTTACTGTTATTATGTAAAATACGTATTTTTTTACACCGCGAACGTGATCCCTACAAAGTGGTATCGAGTTACCAAAAAGGAATTATGGTTCAAGAAGAAGTTATATGCGCAGTCATCGACAACAAGTGTTGTTGTTAATGATTCACGGGATGGTCGTGCGGACTCATTTCGTTTTTATTGTTTTCACCCGCTCGCGTTCAAATTGTAATTTCAATAAACATTTGCGAAACAGTTGGAAACGCATAGGAAAATGTTTTTTATTACACCGCGCGGCCATACGATACACTTGTGCTCGAAACCCGTACGCTTTCAGTACCGAGCTGAGTCTCGTCAATACCGTTTTTATTATACTAATACGGTGTGTGAACTCGAGTTGGCCGTGCGCCCGAATTTCGGAGTAGTAGTTGCGCAAAGTACTGTTTGTTTGAAAAGTCGCTAAAAAATGTCAATCGATAGCGTTCTATTTTAGACACAAAACTGTAATGTAACTTGTAATATCTATGGCGAAGGGAAAAACGTATGGAACGCGCGTGCAAACTGACATTGATTACACTTGAGACTTTTGCCATTAGGTCGCTCACTTTCTACCAACACCCTTGTGGCCCCGCCCGCCATACTCCTATCTACAGATCACTCCGCATGAACGTCACTGGAAAGCGTAGGGGAATCGCACACGTGTTTTCACAATAATATACGACAATGGTAGTTTTCTGGGAGTGTTTGCGACAACTCTGGTGTCGCGTTTCCTCTTCTCCTACGCGGTCTCGGTCCAGTAAATGCCGCGTCACCGAAGTGTCGACGTTACGCATCGCCGTCCACAAGTATTGCCAAGGACGTGTATTGCCGAGGGATGTTGGGTGACTCGTTGACAAAAAAAAAAAAAAAAAATCCTTTAAAAAAATTTGGGGGGCCCCGCAAATGCTAGCGCCGCCANGGGGGGGGGGGGGGGGGGACAATGAATTTGAAATCGGCATTTTCGGGCAAAGAAAACGCCGCTTATGGACGTCGAATCGAGAATACATTAATTACCGAACAAATATTTTTTTCTCGTGAAATATTTAAAAAGTTCGAACCGTAAAATGGCAATTCGGTATTTGAAGCCCCATAGAGCTGTACATGTGATTTTTATGAAGTGGTTTCAATTTTCAAAACTGTCGTCGTACGCTGCTGGTCACTTGGCGAACGTGTCCGTCGTATCCGACACTCGACGGCCGTTTTTGATTAAAAAATATTTATTCATTTTTATCGGCCGTTGACGCGTCACGTCAAATGTTGTTATGAGTGTGTGCACGCCGTTTTTAAAGAACAATGCGCGCGCTCAACGAACCCGGTCGGTACTTAATAACGCGTGTTAAATTTATGCACGTGCGTTTTATAAAAAAAAAAAAAAAGAGAAAAATTCTGCCACACCGTTTCTGTTCGGGGCGATAATTTTCGCGTCGTTTGTGTCGTCGCAATTTATGTGCCCAATGAATAATCTTCCCCGTAAATCGGCTTAACGAGTAGACGCCTGTAAATCCTGTCGCCAAGCCGTCTCTCCGAGTTCCCTGGCAATAATTATCGTTTGCATCGCACCTCGTATTATTATTATTATTTCACTCGCTCCTCCGGTGGAATTGTTATCGCCGGTTGGGAGTTGTTCACCTGCGAGTCGTGTGATATTTGGAAACGGCGCCGCGTCAGAACAAAACAATCGTTGGAAAACACGAACAAAAAATTTTAAAACTCTACACTAACAATTATATCCGTCGTGTTATTATTATTGCGCTTGTGCGTATCGCGTTTCAATCGCTACACTATTCGGTTACTATTCTAACCGTTTGTGAACGGACAATACGGTCACACGATACAGCTATTATGTTTATTAATATATTTTGTCACACACCGGCAGACACGCGCCCAACGAGTTGTATTTTGCATAAAACGCGAGCAGTGCGCGTTTACGCACAGACGACCGATTGAATGGTTTTCAATGGTATTTCCATGATAACTATGGTAACGGAAACACTATTGGAAAACCGAGGAAATTAATTGTCGTCGCGCGTAAAACTCTGGGAAATCGAGCGGTGCCCCTCCCCCCCACCACTCTGTCGGATTTCGTTAATTACGCGTTGGTCGATATAAACGATTCACATAGCGTTACTATTGTTTTTTCTGTGTTGAATACCATTGTGATAATCGTTTCCGGTAAAAAAAAAAAAAACGCGTTGATTTTACAGCAGTGCGTACAAACGGAAGTGGCGACGGTTTTCGCGCGGGTCTATTAATGGCGTTTATCGGTAAACGTTTTGGGGGCGCAGTCACACAACGCGGCAATACCTCTCGGACAAGCCGAACTTTCCCGTTCTGGTTAGGGCGACTGCGCGGCCGGCAAACGGGGACCGCCCTCGGGACGATTCTGTTTGTTCGGGGCAGACGCGTGACGACGACAAGGGGCCGGACCCTCAAAAGTGGACTCGTCGGGTGGCCAAGTGTCGAGTTACCGAATAAACACACAAACGCCGCACATCCTCCGCCGAGTAAACCCCACACGGTACGCTGCGGTTTTTTTTAATGCGCGTTTTCCATCCAAACTACCCTCATCCGTTCTCACGTGGTGTCGACTGTTATCTCCGATACGAATCTTCAACTAAAATATCCGGTTAATCCCAAGAGCCCAATCCCAAATTGAATTCATCTCCCCGACGGAATAATGCGCATTGTTGTCGTGCGATTAACACCTCGGCGTTAGTAACATACGTTAGTCGCGCAATGCAAAACAAGTGTGGTTATTGGTTTGTGTTGGGGGCGGGGGGAGGGTGCCGATCAATTAATATTGAGTGGGCGGTAATGAGGTCGCGTTGGAAAAACAACAATCGGCAAACAAACAGTCGAGCGGACAGCAGAAACGAAATGCATCCACAACAAACCTATTCTGTGCGGCGTCCGAGTGGCGAACTTTTTATTTCACCTGTCCGGCAACCCAACACTATTGCGCATGCGGTAGGCTTCCGCTTTCGTCTTGGCCTTACATGAAACCTTATACGAGACCGCCAATATGATCTATATCTAATTCTTCCGACCGATTATCAAGTAACGCCAATGAAATCCGCTTCGAAGGACACACGTGTTGCGATTATCACAAAGTGAAACGATTGCGTTGGCCTATCACCTGTCAAGTCGCCATAGAACGCACGTTGTCCCGTTCAGTATTTTCGACTAGCTTAATGTCGTAGGCACACGCAGTTTGATAACAGACGTTTTATTGATTTTTTTCGAGATACTCGAGTTGGAGTGTTACACCGGCAGACGTCAACGCGAGAAATATTGCATTAGCTACTCGAGAGTATACAAGCGAAAATGAAAACCGATCGGAATTGCTCATAACACATCTCGTTACCAACTGCGAGACAATATCTACCGAGGAATATTCAAACGACCTGTGCACTGGCCAGCAAACCGCTAATAACAACGGCGGCCAGAGGAGTTGAGTATTGTCGGGTTCCGTTTGATTTATCGGATTGTTACCGTCCGGAGCGTGTAATAACTCGACGGGGGAGCGTTTGGAAATGTTATATAAAAAACCCGAATGCCTATAATGTAATATAGTGTGCACACGTTGTTGTAGTTGTGTGTTAATAATTATCGTGTTTGGAAATTATAGTGCGCACGTGCAACGCCAAGGCGGTTCCCCATTTGAATACGCAAAAGAACGCCTCCCGCGAGCGCTATGAGAAATGTTCGGCGGTCAAGTCTCGACGGTCCCAAATCGTTTGGGTGTATTCAATTGGTGCTGCGATACTCGTTATCGAACAACTGGGTCGCGGTCGATATGATGCTGTAAGGTCTACACGCTCATGCCGTTTAAATACCTATAATAAGGTGACCATTAACCGAGTACTGGTTCGGAAAGGTCACCAGAAATGCGCGACCCTCGAAATTGCCGTTTTCGTACAGTTAATAATCACGTCGACCGTTTACTTAACACGATATTGTTGGGATATGTGTCGAGAGACTCGCAATTCGCCCAAGTGTGTTATTACTTTTTATGTTCTATCGTCTGTTAGTAACACCTGTTGCCCGTAATAAACTTTTAACTGAGGATTAGTCTATAGGATAACATTGTTGTTGTTATTATTATACGTTATTACTAAAAGCATACGGCGGCGGTATAGCGATTACAGCCGTTTCCGCTGTTCCGGTATTATTTTTTACAAGATAACGCATTAGTTTATTTTAAAAAATCATATTAATTACTACGCGGCGTTTCCTTCTTATTCGTTAGCCGAAACTGTTTAGCGCGAGAGAGTTGCAGTGCTCTCCGGATAAACTATTGACCGATACGAATTTTAAAATGAGATCAATTTCATTAAGCCAATTTATGGCCCGTTAAGTTCCAACAATAAGGCGATACGCTGCCGGTCATAGCAATGGAAGCAGATGACACGAATTCATTCAAGTTTGGAGTAACGCGATATTTGCGAGTATTACTGCAACGCAAATCGTTTAAATACTTCAAGTTCGCAATTATAGTTAAATCTGTATCAATCTATTTTTATGTATAGGAAATGAACTTGAAACGGTCAGGTACGCGAGCAGTAGGCGCGTCCACTTATATATTTTTTTATACCGCAGCATGGTTTTTTCTACAACAAAACTATAGATATCTATTTGGCAATAATATCAACTTGTGAATAT